CCCGCCACTTAGGTGTATGTGGCTGGCGCCTTAGCCGCTTGAGCCACAGGCGCCGAGCCCTTTAACATATCTTGAAAGGTAAATTTTTTTATTTAACATTATTTTGTGAACATGTCTACATGCTGCTACATCATTTTTATATCTTAATTTTTGGGCCATGTCATATTTTTTCTAGTTGCTATATTCTAATTTTCAACCATTTCCCTCTTTATCTTTTTTTTTTACATTTTGAGACAGTCTTGCTTTGCTTTGTGCTCCTAGATAATTTTCTTTATTATTATTTTTTTTTGCTGTTACAAATAATAATGATGTGGCCAGTATCTGTGAACAAAAATCTTGTTTCTTAAGACATTTCTTTAGGGCTTGGCGCCCATAGCACAGTGGTTATGGCGCCAGCCACATACACTGAAGCTGGCGAGTTCAAACCTGGCTGGGGCCAACAGCAACAAAAAAATAGCTGGGTGTTGTGGTGGGTGCCTGTAGTCCCAGCTACTGGGAGGCTGAGGCAAGAGAATCACTTAAGCCCAGGAGTTTGAGGTTGCTGTGAGCTGTGATGCCACTGCACTCTACCAAGGGCAACAAAGTGAGACTCTGTCTCAAAAAAAAGGAAATTTAATTTCTAGGAAAGGATGAAAGGATACAACTCTTTTATGATTATTGGCCAAATTCAAGGGAATTCTCCCATTTGTCAGATATATCCTATCTATGGAGTCCTCCTAGCATCACCTTTAACTTTTTACTTTTAGTTCTTCATTTTTTTCTTCCTTGCATTTTTGTGTCCACATGTCCTTTGCTGTGGGTGGGCCCCTGATTTGAGCCTCACCTGACCTGCTGTGCCTCACCAGGTGGAGGAACATGTCGGCCGCATCCGAGAGGAGCTCGACCGTGAGCGGGAAGAGCGCAACTACTTCCAGCTGGAGCGGGACAAGATCCATACCTTTTGGGAGATCACGCGAAGGCAGCTGGAGGAGAAGAAGGCTGAGCTGCGGAACAAAGACCGGGAGATGGAGGAGGCTGAGGAGAGGCACCAGGTGGAGATCAAGGTAAGTGGGGCTGGCTGACTCTGCCCTCCAGGTCAAGAGCAGCAGCAGCAGCAGAGGAGCTGGATTGGGTGCTTGGGAAAGGTATGGAACATTTTCTCTTCTTTTAGGGGATCATAGCCCTTTGTAAGTGTTTTTTTTCTTTTTGACACAGAGTCTTACTGTGTTTCCCTTGGTAGAGTCCTGTGGTGTCCCAGCTCACAGCAACCTCCAACTCTTGGGCTTAAGTGATTTTTCTTGCCTCAGCCTTCCAAGTAGCAGGGACTACAGGTGCTCACCACAATGTCTGGCTATTTTTTGGTTGTAGTTGTCATTGTTGTTTGGCAGACTCAGGCTGGGTTTGAACCCGCCAGCTCCGGTGTATGTGGCTGGCGCCCTAGCTGCTGAGCTATAGGCACTGAGCCCCAAAAGTGTTTTTTTTTTTTTTTTATTAAAGAGGCTAAGGGAGAGATGCTTCATCCCTACAGTGGCAGGAGAGACCCTATAGGTCCTGAGTGTTTGAAATGCAGCTTCTATGATGTGAGAGGAGCACAGACTATGAGGGCAGGCTGGCCTGTTTGCAATCTAGTTCTGCCTCTTAACATCCAGAGGTGTGCCTCACCTCCCAGCCTTGGTGTTCTACTCTGTGCCTTGAGTGAATAGGTGGGTGCAGCCGAATAAGTGTATGATGAGCAGGTATGCCTCCCTTGCTCTGCAGGTGTACAAGCAAAAGGTGAAGCACCTGCTGTATGAGCACCAGAACAACCTAACAGAGATGAAGGCTGAGGGCACTGTGGTCATGAAGCTGGCTCAGAAGGAGCACCGTGCACAGGAGGGCATGCTGCGCAAGGACATGCGGTCGCTGAAGGTGGAACTGAAGGAGCAGGAGCTAGCCAATGAGGTGGTGGTGAAGAATCTGCGGCTGGTAGGTATCAGGGTGGGTGCCTAGGGTTGGACAGGCTGCTGAGGATAGCCTGGTACTAGAACCTAGTGCCTCCTGAACTTTTTTTTTTTTTTTTTTTTGAGACAGAGTCTCACTTTGTAACCATTGGTAGAGTGCTGAGGTGTCATAGCTCATAGCAACCTCAAACTCTTGGGCGTAAGCAATTCTCTTGCCTCAGCCTCCCAAGTAGCTGTGACTACAGGCACCCCTAAGAACGCCCTGCTATTTTTAGAGATGGGGTCTCTCTCTTGCTCATGCTGATCTTGAATCTAGGAACTCAGACAATCCACCTGCCCTGGCCTCTTAGAGTCCTAGGATTATAGGTGTGAACCACCATGCCCAGCCAAAAAAAATTTTTTTTTTTTTGAGAGAGAGTCTAACTCTGTCACCCAGAAAGGAACACAGTGATATCATCATAGCTCATAGCAGCCTTAAACTCCTGGGCTCAAGTGATCTTCCTGCCTTAGCCTCCTGAGTAGCAGGGACTACAGGTGTTCACCACAATGCCTGGCTAATTTTTCTATTTTTGGTAGAGATGGGGTCTCCCTCTTGCTCACTGCCTGAACTTCTAATTGTTCAATAGCAACTGGAAATTCATATTTTTGTGTACCATATGCCTTTTGGAATTTGTTAAAATATTTTAAAAAACCCCATGTATTCACAGTGGCGTCTGTGGCTTAGTGGGTAGGGCACTGGCCCCATATACTGAGGGTGGCTGGTTTGAACCCAGCCCTGGTCAAACTGCAACAACAAAAAAAATAGCCAGGGGCGGCGCCTGTGGCTCAGTGAGTACCAAACCCAGCTATGGCCAAACCGCAAACAAACAAACAAAAAAATTAGCTGGGTGGTGTGGTGGGTACCTGTGGTCCCAGCTACTCGAGAGTCTGAGGCCAGAGAATTGCCTAAGCCCAAGA